GGTGGACCCGGTGCTGCAATCGGAGGCCTACACAAACACATACGCACCACAATTCTGGCCTATTCCCTGCGAGACAACCTGGACGCAATACGTCGGCCCCAAACTCATTCCCGACGGCAGCATGGTGCGTGGAAAAGGGCGGCCAAGGTCAAAGCGTCTACGCAATGAAATGGATGAGACTAACCGGCCCCCGACCAAATGCGGCCGTTGTCACCAGCAGGGTCACAACCGAACAACGTGTCCATCTAGACCTACATAGATCCCAATCTTGTATTTAATTTTTGTTGTATTATTACAAACACGAAGTATTTTGTATTAGAATTTGATGATTTTATAAGATTAGCTAACAATTGGATCGTTTCTGTTCTCTACTTTGGATGTCGTTTGAAATATTATATCTTTGCCTTTAACTGGTCCGGCTGCATGTTTGGTTTATAACGTTTTCAATGTACAGATATCATGGACGGAGATGATCGTAGGCCCGGACCTGTGGACCCTTCTGTGCTGACACTACAGCACACACATCGGAGCGTTGCTATCTGGGACCAGACAGTAATGAATCATCTGTCCTTTTATGAACTCATGCATCTAGTGTTATTATAATTTGTGTTATTAATTTTGGTACGACAATTTTTAATTAGGTTGATCCAGCGCAGCAGCTAGTTTGTAGGCACTACACCACCAGGTTTATGGTGGGATGGGTTATCGATCCGCTCGTTCTTCAGTACATCGAGTTTGCAGGCTTCGGTGGCATACATCGGATGGCGACCAGGGAGATCGATCGAGCGCTTGTCACTGCGCTCGCGGAGAGGTGGAGACAGGAGACGCACTCCTTCCACCTCCCTGTTGGGGAGGCGACCGTTACGTTGCGTGACGTCGCCGTACTGACGCGCCTTCCTGTACATGGGGCTGCGGTAACAGGACACGCGTTAGTCGATCCAGCTGGTTTGGTCGATCGGGTTCTCGGAGTTCGGCCAGAACCCGGCGATATTAGGGGGTCCGGGTTGAGGACCGCCTGGTTACGCGACACTTTCAGTCAGCTACCTCAGGGCGCGGATGACGCCACGGTTCAGAGATACGCTCGGGCGTACTTGTTTTTCCTCGTCTCGGGCGTGCTATTTGGGAACAAGAGCGGGAGCCACCTGCAGCTTCTGTACCTGCAGCTGTTAGACCACGATTGGGATCATATCCGTGGCTACAGCTGGGGTAGTGCCTGCTTGGCGACGTTGTATCGCTAGCTGTGCAGAGCATCCCACCTTGGTTCTGGCGAGATCGGGGGTCCGTTGATAGTGCTTCAGGTAACTCACCTAATTAATTACCAGTAACTTATTTTGAAAGCCTTTTAAATAGTTTATACTAACCCGAGTTTTGTATTGTTGTGTGCTAGTTTTGGGCTTGGGAGCATATACATGTAGGCAGACCAGGTAGGCCTGCGTACCATCGTCCGGGACAGCAGGACCGGGACGACCAGTACCAGGCGTACGATGCTCCACCGCTCCCTACACCTGATGAGGCGTACGGTTGCAGGTTCGATACCGGTTTCATTACTGTAGACTTCATTCATTTATTGTATTAGTTGATAACCTGAATCATTTTCCGGTATTAGGTGGGTGGTCCGCAGACTGACACATGCGCATACCGCGAGGGGGCTTCCATACTACCGCGACGCCCTAGACCGCCTGACCGAGGACCAGGTAATAATTTAAAGATACTTGTAATCATTTTTGTAATGTGAATACTGTCTGAGACTAACCTTTTCTTGATATTACTGTTGCTGTGTTATTGCAGATGACATGGGATTCGTATGTACCTGACTTGGTAGATTCCATGCCTGCACATCTGCTGGACCATCAGGCGGAGTGGCGCGCCAGGGTCCCCCTGATCTGTTTTGAGGTCGTGGAGAGTCACCTACCCGACCGAGTCCTGAGGCAGTTTGGACTACGCCAGCCCATCCCCCAGCAGTGTGACACGAGCGTACGCCTTCACGGCGTTGACCGTCGGGGAAAGGGGGAGACCAGCTGGTTACTGGAGCATTGGCGTTACGTTGAGCTGTGGACGCAACGCCTTCAGTTTGTCGTTGGAGGTGACCCGATGGAGGGCGTTGTGGATCCCACCGATCCATACATGGTGTGGTACAGGCGTATTACACGGCGTTTCATCAACCCCAGTTACACACCACCCTCGACACATTACCACCCAGCATATGACGTCATTTACGGATATGTGAGTTTCTTTTATTCTACTTATTTTTATCAATTTTTAATTTCTATATCATACAACTTACTGATCGATGATTACTGCAGGCTGCGGATATGGCTGCGATGGTTGATGCACTGTCAATCAGCCTCGTAGACGGACCCACCAGACCCCAGGTCCAGCGGGTACGCGATATGGGCGTGACTACCTTACAGAGATATGGTCACGGCTATCTCGTCACCCAGCGGGACGACCATGATGGGCGCTCGGTCCATTCACAGTTCGAGCTCGGCCAGAGTAGCTGTGGAGGTGATCTTACGTCACCCAGAGACGCAGAGGACTACGTCTTTCATAGTTCTGCGCCGACCCCTACCCAAGAGGGTCCATCGTCTAGCCAGCTGACTCCCCCACCGCCCCGAGACCCGTTTACCACCATTACACATTACAGGCGGCGGCGTGTCAGACGGAGGGCCGACACAGAGACAGAACCTTTACCCCGAATAAATGAGTCGGGATAGTATTAGGTCATTTACTTCCTGTAGCCCGATTTTGTAGAATGATGTAAATAACACTTATATTATTAATATAATGAATGTTTTTTTAATGAATATGTGTGATGTGAAGTTTAATTTCCTTATTTGTCTAAATCGGACTTTGGTGGTTCACGGTGGTTGTAGTCCTGTTGGGGGTGTCGACAGTGGCGGGAGGTGGTGGTTGGTGGAGGTCGACGGTGGTGGGACGGTAGGGGTTGGTGGTGGTGGTGATTGCAGTGTTGCAGGGGTTGTTGGAGTGTTTTCAACGGCATAAGGGTGGTCGAAAGTGGCGGGAGGTGGTGGTTGCTGGTGGTCGACGGCAGGGGTTGCTGGTGGTGGTTGAGGGTGCTGGCTGTATGAAGGCTGGGGGTGCTGCAGGTTGCTGGAGCATGTTGGTGGTGGTTGCTGCTGGTTACTGCTGGTCTGCTGTCTCCAGCAGAAAAACGCTGTCTGGGACAGCGCTTTAGGTTGCAACATAAAGCGCTGTCTCAGACAGCGTTTTATGTTCAACAAAAAAATTGAACATAAAACGCTGTCTCGGGCAGCGTTTTATGTTCAATTTGAATTCTTATTTTTTTTAAAGGTAAAACGCTGTCTGGGACAGCGTTTTACCTACTGAATTTTTTTAAAAAAAAAAATTCCAGGATAAAACGTTGACCGAGACAGCGTTTTACCCTAGAAGCTTAGTTTGGTAAATACTTTTGCCACGCGTCTACTTTGGTTAATATTTACCAAAGTAAGCTTACTTTGGTAAAACGTCCGGGAGGAAAAGTATTGGAAGGCTGCGTATTTGTTTTTTTGAGGGAGTAAAAAAAAGCAACCCTAAGAGGCTGAGTGAGTGAGTTAATGGGTTGGGCAAAGTTGAGGGAGGATTTTATTTTTTCTTTTCTGTTTATTACCGGGTACCCGAGAAAAATGATTCGCGTCCCATGTCCCGACCAAAGAACTGTTTATTTTGGCGGGTCAGGTACCCGACCCGAAAAAAAAGACAAATTACCCATCGGGTATTTTGCGGGACATTGGGTAATCGGGACGGGCAATCGGGTCGGGTTTTTTTGAACACCCCTATATGTGTGTGTGTCCATTAATTTTTATTTTGATGAGAAATAAATCATTTAAAGTTTAGTTCAAAAAATAATTACAAACAAAGTACTTCATTGCAACAAGGAGGAAATTACGCATCCCAAAGCACATTTTATATGCTAAATATATATAATTGTGTAAGAGTAAAAATTATAAAAAGTTAATATTGTGAAAGTATTTTATGAGACGAATCCAATAAGATCCCATGACTATATTTTACTTAATGTATAAATCTATATTATAAGGTCAAACAAGAGTGATGAATAGTGCAAAAACTCCATTGTTGCAATATTAATAGAACGGAGGAAGTATGTAATAATAGAAAAAAATATAGGTATATATTTATATAAGACTAGTCAACTTAATTAGTACATAAATCTTAAATAATACCATAATAAATATATTAAAAAAAATTTATAAAACGAATCAACAGGTCGGATCCAGACCGGATTTGGATCTCAAAAAAGGGTCCAGATCCAAATCTGGTCCATCAAAACGGATCCAGATCGAGATCTATCGATTTCAAAAATTAAAGATCCAGATCCTGTAAAATGGATCTGGATCCACCGGATTTGGATCGGATCCAGGATCCGTTGTCATCTCTATTCTCAAGGTTAGATTTCTAGCTAGGGGAAGGGGGTGAAGAAGTTGGTGTAGTTTGGATTGAATGGATGATGATTGACTGATTGCCATACATTGAGATGTTGGACATGTGCTAATTAAATTGCTCGTGTTTATTGTAGCGTTGTTTAATCCCGTTATTTCTTATTATGTCTAGATTAGTTGCACGAAAGTGACCTAGATTAGACTTCCATTATGTCCATCATCTTGCTAGGATAGTTGCACATGAGTTAATTATCTTGATTACTTGGTTAGGATTGCATGTAGTTGCTTCTATTAGTATGATTTTCATAGGTGCACAGGAGTGAATTATCTTAACACTAGAGGTATTTATAGTACTTTGAATGCTTCTAAGCTAATGGTTTCCACAAATCGTAATCGAGCTTCGTTTTATACAAGCGTATTACAACCATATGTGAGCACCACATTCCGATGGCAAGATTAGCAATGAGAGACATAAAGCATCAGATTAAACTTTATTTAAAGGAGAAACAAAAAACGACGTATACACCCCTTGCTCGTGTTTGGATTTAGTTGTCATGTTGCAAGTTCATGTGGAGTAGAAAATCAGTGAAATTGAGTGCAGCAGGCAAAAGATAAAGGAACCCTGTCACACAACATAATATACAACCCAATAGCTTTATACAGACATAGAAAGTAATACCTATATGTTTCTTACAAGTTAAGATCCTTGTACTTTCTATATCCTAAACCGAAATTTACAGGAAACAAAATAAATTTGGGGAGAAAAAGAGAAAGGAAAAAACCTACAAGCATCACCTCAACCTTGTTAGGTGGGAGCATCAATTTCATATTGTTTGTATATACCAACTTCATACATTAATTTACAGGTTTTGTATCTGTATGTTTTTATTTCTAACTCAAACTTGCGTCCCTGACATAAGTGGCGGTGAAAAAGCCCTCATCATCTGGTTCACAGTCGCGAGATTGATCTACAGATTAAGTCCATAGATGGTTCTTGTATGATGAATCATGAAATTTGGATTACATGAGAAGGCTGTTCTGAATCAGGGTGCTCAACTTCTTCGTCAGATGAGGTTTCCAATATACTAGGGGTTTCCTGTAAGTTACGAAAATAAGGGATCAGAATCAGTACAAGAAAAATCACCAATACTGTAAACATCAAAGAATTCTGAATGAATGAATGGTACATACATCTTGGTTCCTTTGTCGCCGTAGTCCAGTAACTGCCATCATGGTGACATACACGAGCATTAAAATTCCTGAGACTCGGAGCATTGCTAGCTGAAACCAAAGAACATAAGAACATGCTCTTTCCAGAAAACAGATTAATAGTTATATTTACTTACAATGAATAGGGGAAGAACAAACTCGTGATCATCAGCACCACCAACCACGATTGGCAGAGTATGTCGTAAAATCAGGAGACCAATGAACTGTAAATTAACATAACAAATAGATTGATGTCTGGAAATAGGTGGAAACAACAAGGCATGTTACATATAACAGTGACCGTGAAAGGAAAATGGTTCTTACAATCACTGCAACCGTGAAACGGCATAAGAGACTTCTTGAAGAAGGTTCTTCAAATTCATCTAGAAGATCATCATGATCAGTCGAAACTGCTTCCATTAACTGTGACTGAACTAATTCTCGTCTGCTTATCTGCCAGTTTCTCCTGATAAAAAAACGCGCACTGTTTCAGTTAGTCAGTTTGATCATTGGTAATTTCATGTCTGTTTATATTTCATGTCATCATAGGTGAGGAATTACCTAAAATTCATAGGAATACGCCCATATCTAAGTAGAGGTGGGGGTGCAGAATAACCTGGTCTGAATGGCTGCAATCAGAAAAAACTCGAAATTTAGCAGCATTCACGTTTGTTTCTATATCATGTTCATGTAATCAGAGTACCGCGAAAATAACAAGGAATTGGAGCTGCAATAAAATGAAATCCAACCTGGTGGCATATTTCACAATTGATGTCACCTTTCTCGTTACACCACCTCTGCACGCATCTGCGATGAGCATACTGCAAGCATTATATGAGCTTCTTCAGCATACATCTCTATGTTATTAACAACACTAATCGCCTTTAATAAAATTACTCGTAACAAACAAACACGACTCCAAATTCACTAGTTAAGACATGTGAAAGTCACCAAGGACAATCTATTTATCATGTAGTACTAGTAGTACTATCTTGGTTTCTTCAGCCTTTTACTTTAATATAGAATGCAATACAAATATTAATGTATATTCATGCAATCATGCTTCTTAAACAATTGAACATAAAGGAAACATGCATCTTATATAGGGTCAATTCATGTTAAAAATTAGCTTTTATTCTAAAAAAACGATCCTAATATAATATTCCCTCCGCCCCAAACTAATAGATAAAAATTTTACTTATCTCAAAATTATAATTCAAATCTAAGTTCTTGAACGGGATAGCATTTAAACTTTTCCGTATTACCCTTAATGATACCCTTATATCAATTCCATAAAAAGGACAAAAACGTATACTCCCTCCGTTTTTAAATACTTGCTCCATTTTTATTTTTTACATTATTCATTTGTCCTACTTTGACTAATGTTTGTGATACATAAGAAAAAATATAGTCTCGTGAGTACTTGTTGGAATAATCTCAATGAATAGATTATTAATTTTCAACTGTTAGAATTTATACTTATTGATAATTAAAAATATTAGTGATCAAAAATTAGTTACAAAAATATTTAAAAACGGAGGGAGTATAAAATAATCAAAATAGTTTAGTTACATCAGTCATGTTCCACCTTAAATCAAATGTGGCCTATTATTTAAAAACAGAGTCTAGTAATACAAACCTTCAAACTACCAGAACAAGAACAAGGAGTCTCCATCTTAGAATCAAAATCCTCATCTTGGCATATCCTACACTCCACAACTTTCCTAGGAGATGATAACTCTGCATCATCTTCCTCTATTGGCATTAAGAACTCAACATCCTTGCCTTCTTCAATCTCTTTTGCTCGATTTCGACTTTCGATTGCGGCATGTATCGTTGATTCTGTAAGCAACCGGTTCACCAGTAATGCTAAATGATCACCCATCTTAAAAGTTACCACAACCCCAACTATACAACAACTTCACCAATGATCAACTGTATCCTGGAATTCAAACAAAAACATCTTATTATTGAGTTATACTACTATTAAACAATCAAGCCAACAAAAAAAAATATGTTTTTAGAAAATGGGGAATCAGGAAAAAGCTATGAAATTTAATCCCAGTTCATAAAAAGCAAAAAGATTTCACCTTTTTACACAAAAAAGATGAATATTTACAAATAATTAGAGGAATTAACAAAATCCCAAAAAGGGTGGAAAAAGGCGGCTGACTGAAAAGAAGAAGAAATCCAGAAAGGGGGAGCAGGAAAAAGGAGACAAAACCCAGAAAACAGAAAAAGGTGTGATTTTTATGAATTAAAAACCAAAAAAACAGAGGATAAGAAAGAAAGAGACTTACAAAAGAGGGAAAGAATGTGTAAAAAAGGGTGAAATAATGAAGAATTAATGGAAGTATGAAAGAAGATGAAGCAAGAGATAGAGTAAGGTGGGTTTAACAAGGGAATAGAAATGCTAAGCAAAGCAAAGCATTTTTATTGAAATTTTGTTCTGTTTTTTTTTTTTTTTTTTTTAAGGTTTGATTTGATGTTGTTCTTCTTCTCTCACGACTCACGTCATATATAAAGCTTTTGGGATATTTTTGTTGAAAATTATTTAAAAGAAAATGTTGGTGATCAATGAAATGAAAAGTGGGTTGAGACTATAACGGTGAAATCAAGCACCATTATCCCACTACTTTCGTCCACGTTGACCTTTTTTGTTAACCGTCTATTGTCGTGGCTATTGGTTACTGATGTTAGCCTATATTCCCTCCAATAATACACAACTGATGTACTATTATGGTAGAGATTTCGGCCTGCCTAAGTACTTATGAAAATAAGTAAATAAATCAATCAAGTGATGTATTGTATAAATTTATGAAACAAATCTTATAACATACATCGATTTAGGGTCTGTTCTCATTGACTGAATTCAGCTGAACTGAACTGAACTGAATATTTTATAAGAGAAGGAAATTAGGAACTGAGCTGAACTGAACTGAGCTGAACTAAACTGAACTGAAATGAGCTGAATTTCAACGTAAGAGAACAGACCCTTAGATTATATCAATTGATCTTTAAATATATATACACCGTAACAAATCTAACAAGATATCAAGCGACTATTAAATTGAAGGAAAGCTATCATTTATATAAATATGTAATAAACTATCCTATAATCCAATTTGATGTAGTACTAATATGGTACCTTAGCTAAATATTTAACTTTTAATCTAAAATTTTCAACTTTAACCCACCATTACACTGGCCTCATAACCCGACATTAAATTAAGCTTTTTTCCAAATTGTCCAAAATATATTGATTGGTGCTAAATTAAAACCATGTCAACAATTTCACACTCGTTTGGTGAGTCTAAATAAATTTTACTTCGTACATCTTGTACACAATTTTTTTTCAGAGTTTGTTTTGTACACGTGTAAGAAGTTAGTTATTTATGGAAATTTTGTCACTACATATGTGATTCCCGCCAAGGAGTTGGGAATTAGGTAGTGTATGGCCAACTCCAATTCCTAATGAATCTGCCTTTTTTTTTTGTTGTCTTCGTTGAAATGTTTGATGACCATCTTTTAATCGTGGTCATGCAATACGCCAACCCCTCATAATATTCTATTTCTTTCTATTAATTATTTTTATTTTCTCTTTTTCTATTTAGTTGACTATGTATTTATAGAGTATGATAAGAAATGGCATGAAGATTCTAAGTTGATATTACGTAATAGAATTATCATTAATGCTAGTGGATTTGAGATGTTATTGTCTTTGAATCACAAGAAATATATGATATAATTACTCCTTAATTCAAAGTTATACTAGCTAATTAGTTATCAATGGTTGGATTGGGGAAATTTACACACTTTGCAAATTACACTATTGTTCAAATGACTTGGCCTAGATCCAAAGTTTGGTACATGTCGAGGCTTTGTAAAATCGTAATTGAACAAGACCAAATCAACTTAACCAAAACGTTGACAAGACCTAAGTTGATCGACCAATAATAATCAAAGAAAGTTGTTAAAATCACGATATATATTTTACTCGCCCCTTCCATTCCTAATAAGTTATTCCCATATGGAATTATGGAATTTGTCATTTTGACATTAATTATAAGATGAAACAATGATCTACTACATAAAACATAACCTTATATGCTAGGCCTGATTCGTTTTAATGAGTAAATTATTAATATTCAAATGTTATATTTGTTTATTACTAATATGCAACTGAAGATATTTATGGTCAAAATAACACATTAACAAGCGTTTACAGTTAAGATGAGAAGAACTTTCAAGAATGGAGGGAGTAGGATTTTGCAAAATTATGATCTAAATTCACTTGATTGACAATCCAGATTGCAAGCAAAATCATTTCACTCATATAAGTCATGATCGATTAATATCTTACAAAATTGATTAGTTTGGGACTTTGGGTGATCCTAGTGTTTAATTAATTAGATTATAGCTGGATTGGCTACGATTGATTAGGATTGGCTAAGGTTCTGTTTGGCAAAAGTAGCGGTAGCGGGTAGCTTTTAATGGTCGAGTAGCGGGTATCTATTAAGCTAGCGAGTAGTGGTCAATTAATAGCGGGTACAGGTTAGCTGTCAAAGTAATGGTTGATAGTATGATTGTTTGGTAAAAGTAGCGGTTGCATACTAAAATATATGAAAATCCATATAAATATTGTTTAAAAAATAATAAAAATTTGTCAAACACTACCCACTACTTCTAAATGCTACTATTTTTAACGTTTTAGAAAAGTTACCTAAACACTACTCCTTTCGCTAACCGCTACTAGAATCGCTACCTTGCCGAACACTTTCAAATTATTTCTAGTAGTGTTTTGACTGGTCAAAACACTAACCGCTACCTCAAAAGCTACCACAAAATAGGGCCTAAGATTATTAGAATCAGTACAAGATCGACCAAGAATAGACTGATGATAGATCTTGATGATTTTTTTACTTAAAATGATTTGTTTTATAAGCAATTAATCTGTGTTCAATTCACCTTACTTTACTTATATATCTGCACTTTTCATATTTTATTATTTGAACTAATCTGAACTAATTAAACATTTACGATTTTGTGGGTAGTTAAATATAATAATCGAAATTCGGGTTGTTAAATTTAAATAAGGGTTGTGTTTGCAAGTAAACATCTTATTTGAGAAAAATTAGCTTATTTGACCAACATTAGCTTATGGACTATTAAATAAGTTAATTCAAAGTGTTTGGTGGGAAGCTTACTCAAAAAACTTATTCCACTAAATAAGCTCTTTTTGATAAAGTTCCTTTTAGGAGCTTTTTCAATTAGCTTATTCATTAATATATGGTGGAATGACACTTATACCCCCATTTAATTTAAAATCCAACCTAAATTACCTATTCCACAATGGTCATTTCACATACTCAAACAACTTTAAGCTATTAGGTATTTACCAAACACAAGTTAGTCAAATCAGTTAATATAATTAACTAGTCAAATCTAGTTAATACAATTAACTAGTCAAAATCAGCTAACATGCAGCTTTAGCTTTCAATTTTAAGCTACTCACCAAACACGTCCATGGTTTTTTGAGAGGTGGTACAATACAATTTTTCCAAAGTTTTATGCTTTAAATTTGTAAAATTTCAGGTGTTGTTTGGTTCATTTAGGAATTAAAACTTCTCATGAATTGCAAATTTATGGGAATCAAATTCCTATAACTCATATTCATGGGAATTTCATAACATTTTTTTTTGTCAAAAAAAAAAAGGATTAGATAATTAAGTTCCTATATTTTATGAGAACTTAAAATTCTATGAAGTTCTACTTTTCCCATCTCACTAAATTTTTATCAATTAAACAACACATAAACTTACGATTCCTAAGAAATCTCACTTTTTTTTTTTAAGTGTTAAACAAACAAGTCCTTATTTTACTACTCGTAACTAAATTAACTCTCGTGCGATGCACAGATATAAGAAAAGAATTTATAATTGTATAAATTTTAAAGACATACTTCCTCCGTTCTTTTTTACTTGACCCGCTTTGACTTTTACACTATTCATCACCCTTTCTTTGAGCGTCTTTTGTGAATAATATGTGAGGAAAAACACATTCATGCAGGGTCTTTTTGAATTCGTCATCTCAATAAGTACTATCATAGTATATAACTTTTATAATTTTTGCTTATGTAGAATTAAAGTTATTGATCGTTAAACTTTTGCATTGGCAACCGTGATAAAAGAAACATGTCAAATAAAAAAAACAGAGGAAGTATTAGTTATAATATGTAAAATCTTTGTATTACATACGATATTATTAACATAAATCAAACTACAAAACTTAAAATAATATAAATAATGAAAATTCTCATCTACAATTAAATTTAGCGAACTTTGTAATTAGATGGAATAATCACATATATAAAAAGGTTGATATTTGATTTCCTAAAGATTTTTAAAAGGTTCTTAAAGGAAAAGGTAATGAACAATTGAAAACTAAAAAGTTTATTGTATTGTACTAAACTACTTTGCAATCAATATTTAGATTTATTTAAAAAAAATGAAAGGAAAAAAAAAGTTTAGAGGAAAAAAATGAAAGAAAGGTTGACACGAGTACAATTTAAAAAAAAAAAAAGTAATGATGTCAGCTTATTTATAGATAGAAAGTTTATTGTCTAGAATCACCAAGACCAAATAATCTATGAAAGAGCCATCTAGCAATATGAGTCATGGTAAGCATATCTAAGCCGTGAAACATATTTGACTATTGACTCTTTCCATAGCTTGACACGCGTACCAATAAATGGAGTTGGTCATATGGTCACAAAATGTTTAGTCATCTCATTTCACCACCCAATTGACATCATTTCTATTCTTAATTAGATTAGCTTCCTCAACTCCACATAATTATTTATATTTGTAAGGTTGCTCACATACTGAGTTTTGTTAAAGTTGGATAACCATCCCAATTTAGACGACTATCATTATTTAATGTCAATTTGTACACGTCTCAATAACAATATTGTCCTTCACCAACCTTTTATAACCATCAATCCATTATAATACCATGGAGTAATATTTTAAAATAAAAGATAATACGATTTTACAAGTCTATTTCTTACAAGTCTATTTTCTCGCCAGTATTATTTTTGGGTTGCTAACTACACTATGTAACAGGGGTTATTTATGAGTTTTATTCAAGAAAAACTTTTGTATACATTCGATGTATAATAATTTATTGAACCCTTTGGGGTCACTTTAAATCAAATTTAGGGTCACTTTTACAATTTTAGGGTAATTTTTATCAATAAAGCATAAATTCTTCATAATTTTTATTAATGTCAGGATAACTTTTATTCATGCTCCCTCCATTTTTAAATACTTGTTCCACTTTCCTTTTCCAGCCATTTTTAAATACTTGCTCAATTTCCGCATTTTGAAAGTTTTACAATTTTTAATTAATTTCTCTCACCAAACTGGACCAAACAATATTAATTTTATATTCTCTCTCCTTCAATTCTCTCCACTAATTTTGTTTTTACAATTATTTATTATTCCACCAACCTCATTACCTCCATATTTTATTACTTTCTCCAATTTCTCCTTAAATTCCGCACATGAAGAAATAGAGCAAGTATTGGAGAGAGTATTAGGGTAACTTTTGCTCATTTTAAGGGTAACCTTATAACGGATATACAATATTTATTGTACATCTGATTAATTTAAAAGTTTGTCTTTATTCAAGGGTTACTTATTAGGGCATGTTCTGATTGACTAA